GGATTATGAAATATGTGATGTGACATCCTACGTGGTATTTAGTTATTTTTATCATCCTATTTGTCTTGTTACGTTAACTAAAAACAGAATTTTGTTAGAAAAATTTGTTGTGTGTCTGAAACTTAGTTCATTTTTTGTTTTTTTTTTTTTGTGTAACATTAAATGAACGTGTTAAAATTATTAAAATGTCTTAAATTTTTTATTTTATAGTATAATAAATCTTATTGATTTGATACAAATACAAGACCTTAACGTAGGAGTTTTCTCTCATTTTTTTACTATACAAAAATAGATTCATAAGTTTCAATACATAAAAACTAGCTTATTGATATTATTTCACCTGATTGTAAACAAAAATAATAATTATTGTTGTTGTTGTTGTGATGGTGGTGGTATAAGTAATCTTACGTGTACATATTTTATATTAACTTACTATATTTAAGAGAAATTTTTTTATATACCAATTTTAAGATTTTAAGATTGGAATTCAGTAAATTAAAAAAAAAACAAATCATTAAAAAGAGCACAAAAATACTATTTCAGATTTTGACCTATTTTCATGTCTTATTCTCGTTAGATTGATTGATTATGGCACTGTGGTAGACCCAGTCTATACCACAAACTGTTCACGCTTTGTAAGGTCAAGGACGACTTGACGTTCAGGAGGCCATGTTCTGGTGCTTTAATGTGGGATTGAAATGCCATGTCACATTACTCTTCAACGTTGGACTTTTCCGATTATGACTCGTGTCAGAACACCAACGTGCGGCACCCTTGTGGCTGCTAAATTTTTTAGGCTAAACGATATTTTAGTCACTACAGATTTAGTAATATTATAAATTGGTCCCCATTTTAATTTTGTGCAATATTATTATCTCATGTTGTAACTTGCAAGAAAAAAAATAATTCTTAATCCATCAGTTTGGTGTAGATATCCTATCCAAGATCCATTTTAGAAAATACTTAATCTTGATCTGTAACATTTGCTCAAAGATTATATTGATTGTTAAAAATCAATTTTTTTTCCAATGTCAACTAAAGTTTTCAAAATGTTTCAATTTGATCTACCATCGTTAAATAGCTACAAATACCAGAAGAATTTTTTATAATGCTTGAAGTATTTATATTGTTACTTGATTTTTTTCATTTTTGGTCTTATAATTGTTCCATTTTATATTTGTAAATATCTAGTAAATCATATTACCATGATTTAAAAAAAATCTACTAATTGTGGCCACTTGTAATTGGCACTGTAATGATAGTTTTATTTCATAAAATATAAGAATGCCTTAAATTTAATAAATCATTTCATTATAATTTTAAAGAAATATTTTCAAGCAATAATTATCGGGTTAGTAAATAAGTTATTATAGCAATGGTATCGATTAGTATCCTTGGAATCTTTTTTACATATTTTTAGTAGTTTTTACAATAAACTATTAGGATCACATGTGTAAGATTTAGGAGGGATAGAAATAGTCTTTCCTATTTGATATGAATAGATTTCATAATTCTAAACCGATCTCAATTAAGACCACAAATTTCAAGTTTGTTAACAAATAATAAATCAAATTATATTAGTTTTTAGAATTAATATTTTTTGTACAATACTAATCGATAGAGTCCTATTCCCATTGATAAGTGACACAAATTTCATACATTTAACTTCATATATATATATAAAGTGAGTTCTATTTTAGCTATTTGATAGCTATTGGTTACATTGAAATTTTTGGGAAGTAACTAGAAAAATAATTTTAACCTCTGAAAGCTAAGTGGAATGTTACTAAATCTACAGGGACTAAAGATGGTTTACCCAATTTTAAATTTTCTTATTTTTGGAGCAATCTTCTGGTGCGTGTTCGAATTTGAATTGTCGATATTATCGCTGTACAGCGGGCCATGAAACAGAGAATCAGAGCATTTTTGGTCCGTGTATATGTACGTACCACGTGTCAGTGAAATGTGGTCCATACGTGGCAACTTGTTATTATTTGCTGACTTTGTTTGGTCTCGATGCGAACGGGACCACACGATTTGAATGCCCGAACCCTTTTACTTTCTGTCGAATTTCCTCTACGCCGCGGCAAAGCTCGCGTCAACTTCACCGCTTAAATATTATTTCTCCAGATGAAATTCATTTTATTCAAAATAAATTATTTATGCACACAATAATTTGTAACCTCATCTATCATGAATTTAAGAGTTTTTTTTTTGTTAATAGTTAAAATAACTATTTAAAGTATTAAATTATATATCTGTATAATTATAAATCATTTAAATTGATTAATTCATTCATTAGTTACCATCTATTTTCAAAGATGTATATTTGATATTATTGTGTCGTGATGTGATATGATATGAGTTGAAAATAGTATAAATAAAAATAACATTTGATATTTGATTGTTGTGTGCTTTTAAAAAAATAATTTTTTTCTTAAATAATATTTGATTCCATACTAAATGCTTTACTTTTGGTTAAAAATAAAGGATGTCTTGCTTGGATTTAAAAGCAAAATAGTTTTTTTTTAAGTGTTATCCATTTTTTTTACCCATGAATCGATAAAATTTAACCAATTTCAATAAATATTATTTCATAATTCGAATTCATGTATATTTATATAATTTCAATGACTAGAAGCACGTGCTTTAAAACTACAACAATACAAAAAGACGTTCTATCTTTTTATTTCGATATTTAATATGTCTACTTATATCATGATTGTTTTATTTGGTCCATTGGATATGAATGCAAATTAAGATGATCAGTTCTTGGAGGAAAATAAAAAGGGCTTAGTTGAAGGCCTACTCATTTTGGTATAAGAAGCATAATAATTAATTATGATAAAAGATATATTATGACTCAGCTAGTATGTTCATGTCATTTGATTCCCATTGTACCATAGATAAATTCATATATTATGATATTATATCATATTAATTGTATTGTCCTTATATATATATATATGTTAAGCAAAAAAATAAAAAATAAATAAAGGAAAGGTTCTTATATGAGATTTTGGGGAAAATTAGAAGCAAATTTCAAAAGTATGATAGAACAATAATAGCAACATTTTCACTCCAGTAACAAAGGATTCTTTGGAAATAACGAATTCAAAAGCTTTTTTTTTTTTTTATCTTTAATAGCAAGAGTGTTGAAAGGATTAATTTTTAGACATGAGTGGAAATTGGAAACTTTTCATTACAAATTTGAGTGCTTAATCAAATATTATGCATATCTAAATAAGAAATACGAGTTAATTTTGAATAATATTTGAACTCCTCAAATCACACGATGATATGATTAGCATTTAATATTTGGAGACGTTGTGTAGACTAATTAAAATAAATAAATAATATAAGAGAAATGGGAGAAGGTATATTTTTATCCCCTACTACCTATCACATGACTTTTTAAATAAAAAAAATTATATTTGAATTCCTTATCTATTTAAAATTTACCCAAATTAAATCTTGTCATTAAGTTTTATATATGATCGTATTGCTTCTATTTTTGCTTGTATTTGATTCTTTTTATTTGGCTTCTATTTTTATATATATATAAAAGTGTTAATCTCAATTTCTTCTTGCAATTATTCCTATACTATCAATCAACCTCAGTTTAAGTTTTTTTTATCAATACTCTCATGTGTCAACTTTGAGCATAGCTTTTTTATACGAATTCGTGCCAGCCGTTGATCTTATGGGAATCATTAACTGGACCCCACAGGATCAATGACTAATACAAATTTCTTGTCATTTTCGAGGTACGAAATTTGTGTTCCCTTCGACTTTATCTCAATCATCTTCTAAATGGATTTTTACACATTTTTTAGAAACATTACTCGCAACAATTTTCAGGACGTCAGCCTGAACCTTCAAAAAGAGGCCACCTATAGTTGTTTATCTCAAAAAAATCATGCAGCAAACCTAAGTATGAAACTATATTATTGATAGGAAAAACACATCACTTCGTGTGATATTTAATTTACTTTAAGATAAGAAAAAACCAATGTTAGCCTTCTTTAGAAGCTTTAAATTGATGCTAAAGAAAAATTTAAGTATTGCATACGTAATAAGTTTAATCTTTTGTAAGAACTACAGGAAATAACGAATTTGCAAAATAAATATATTAATTATCATAAAAAGATTTGTCAAGATGAAAATGAATATAAATATATATTAGATTTAAAATTTATTTTTTAGTAATTAATTTTGAAATGCTCTTCTATACATGTTTAGAATGCACAATATACGTTTTACATGTTTTACATCTTTTATACGAAAATATTTAATTTTCATAAGTATTTTAATATTTTATTTTTATTTTGTTGAACAGAATACAATTGTAAAAATTGATACCATCGATGTGTCATAAAAAGATATTGGGTTTGAATCGATAAGTCTATCTATTTATTTTAGCCACATTTAAGATCTAAAATAACAATTTGTGAAATTAAAAGATAAAGCAAGTAATTTCTTTCGAAACATGATTCAAATAGGATGATTGATGTAAAGTTGAAACATAAGGGAGGTGATTGATAGAAAATTTAATTTTAGGTATTGATTGATTGATAAGATAGGTAACTTGAGGTTACCTTGAATTAAATTTTTGTAGTTATTCGGTACCAAGAGAATTGAGTAAAAAAAGAAAGAAAAAAACCTCGGCAAATGGCAAGGATGTCCACGGCGGGTTATTAGACTCATATATTTATATATATATAAATAAGCAAATTACAAAAACTACTGGCTTAATTTCCATGTAGGTTAATTAATGGACAAGGCTTGTCCTTGCAAAAACAAGAACAAGAAAGCAATACTCAGTTTAATTTAGTGAAGAAGGAAAGGAAAAGTTAAGAAGAAAAACTTGCTCATTAGATGTACGTATGTGCACGTCTAATTCAGGAAATTTCGTCGAATTTAGGGGGTTTTTTGGTTGTCTTGAAAGCCGGTGATGATAAACAAGCTGCCTTTTAAGGAAGGATGCTGATCTCCATGGTTCAAGCACATGTTGGTGGTATCTTTGGAACTCCTTGCTTCTGCAGCTCCATTACCACACTATCAGTAGCTGGAGGTTTTAGTCCAAGAGGAAGTGGCAGCCATGGCTTTGATAAAACATCTCCAATAACTGCATCTACACTCTCTTTTGACTGTTGCAAAACATGTTGCCATGAATTAGAGAAACAATTTAATCAATATACATACTTTTTTTTCCCCCAAAGAAACACGTAACAATACTATATTGGCAAAAATTGTTGAAAATAGAAGGAAAAATGAAAATTGTTGGGAAGAAGAGGGCTGGACTCACCGGATGAAAGTCAAAGACAGGGTTGGGGCCGGACTGTCCGGCTGGGACGCCAATGCCGGGGTCTACTTTGTACATGGCATGGGGTGGGATACCTGGGACAGGAGGAGCAGGAAATCTCTGCAATAGATATGTAGTATATCCATAAGTAAACTGTTTATACATGAATCTAAAACCTGTAGATACAAACAGCTTTAAAAACTCCAAAAGAGTAGGAATGATTGCTTACAGTTGCCAGTGGCTGTGGAAAGCAAAGTGTCCCTGGGGTTAGTCCATTTGGAACCTAATAAAAAAAGTAGCATGGCCACATTAGAAAAAAAGGCTATCCAATTTCTTTTCCTTTTCTTTTCTGTCCTTTGATTGACTAAATAGCTAGAAAGAAGGGGCTAAATTTAGGGCTTACCCTTTGGTGGGGGTGGGGGTGGTGGTGCCAATATGAAGGGTCTGGTGGTGGTGGAGGGTGCCATGTACGTGGTGGCGGTGGTGAAGGAGAATGGGCTAGATGTTTAGGCCACATAGGCATTCGGGATTGGTCCATGGAGGGATGTCCCCATACATGTAATGGTCTAAAGTGGTGGTGCATGGGATGAGTTATAGGAGGGAATCCCATGGTGGGTGCATGCCATGCGCTCATATCTCTCTTGCCACCTCCGCCGGCTGCCGCAGCTCCATACATTTGCCGTCTTTGGCTCCAGCTTGCTGCCTCGGCCTCACGCGCTAGCACATGTTTCCGGTGTGATCTATATTTCTGCAAACATTCATCAAATTCCTTTAATAACATATATCAAAATTAACCATCCAATATGTTTGTTAAATGTCCATTTTTTTAGCTATAGAAGGAGCATATGCTTAGACAAATTACGCAAAATCAAAGTATTAATTAATTAAAAAAAAGATGAAACTAGACAACGTTTCTATATATTGGCTTTAAGAGCAGAAGGAAGCTTTCGGTATGTAGTATTTACTTGAAGATGGCTTGCAATGTTATGGCGAGTGAGACAGTCAATTCCCATAAGTTCTAAAATCCTCGAAGGCACTGCCTTGTCCACTCCTAGCTGTTCCACTGCTTGCACGAATCTCCTGTGCAGCTCTGGTGTCCAATCCACCTACACACAGTTCAAGAAAATAAGCAAGAAAGATAAAATATATGAGACCTCTTTTGATTTTATGGGTAATTCAATTTCCCATGATTCTCGTGACCACTTCTTTGGCCACCATGAAGTTTGCCGAGGAGGAGAGAGATTGATACATTTAATGCTCAACTAATCTAGCAAAAACTAGTGTCGAATTTTTTATTTTCTGGTTGACGAATAAATCCAAATGACGTAAGACTATAAGAAAACCTAATCAACTTATAAAATACAAGCTTCAAGCATGTTTACCTTAAGTTTTCTCTTCCCATGATGATTAATGTTTTTCTTGGCTTGATGAGCTGATGATTTTCTTCCCTTTTCACCGTCTTTGTTAGGCACAGGATTAACAGCCATGGACTCGTCTCTCTTACTCACTATCTCCTCTCCTCTATTACTCAAACTCGAGTCTAAACCTGAACCCGAAAGCTTATCTTCCTCGTCTTTTCTTTGAATACAATCATCCACTTTCTCACTCGACATCGATGTGTTTGCATCCGATTCCTCGCCTCCGCTACCACTAACGGAGAATTCAGCAAAGATTTCAGGATCCATCTCCAAATTTGGCAACACATCTTCATCATCAATACTAATAAAAAGATCATCGAAGTCGATGCTCTCGAGCAAGTTCCCATCGGAGAAGCCAGCGAACTCTCCATTGACAATAGTAGAATAGCTCTCCATCTGTTCTTGGCTCTCATCTTTGGCGGTTGATGTGTTTCTCAAGGGTGATACAGCTAGCATTAATTCCAAATAAAGAACCCAGAAAATAAAAAAAGTTTGCACACACTATATAGATGTATCAAATTAACAAGATATACTCTATATATGGTGCAACTATACGTACATATATAGATATAGATATATATTTATTGCATGAAAAATATTATAGGAGAATTGCAATAGAAATTATTGACAGAAGAAGTGGAACTTCTTTGTTTTTCCGGTGACTTGGAGCTAGGGAGATGAAGAGGAGGGAGATAATGAGTAGTGTTTGATGTGTTAATGTGGCTTTTGTTGCCTTTTTTAGCAGTGTAAGTGGAGAGATTGGATCTCAACCACAACTTGTGTTGAGATCTCTGGACATTTGTTTTGTTTTTATGTTTTTGTTTGCTTGGGCATGCTAGGCATTATAACATAATTTTTTTTTTTTTTTTTTTTGTGGATGGCCTTTTTCGAAGATTTAAAAATCTGAAAAGTGCTCGTGAGCTTTCTGAATGTCATATAATACAAGAGAGAGAGAGAGAGAGAGGAAATAAGGAAAGGAGAAGGAAAGAAGGGAGAGAGGGTGTAACATTAATTTCCAGCATGGTATTAGCTAGTAAAGGTAATGTATATGGATTATTTTCAATCTGTTCTTAATTTAAAAACCGTTTTTAATTTATTTTTGTTATTTGAACTGCTTTTTAATCTATCCTTTTAGTTGAAATTTTTAGTTAAATTAAATATGTGATTTGATAAAATTATCTTTATTTTTTGATACAAGTAATCTATATCTACTAATATAAAGATTAATTTTTAATAAATTAACTAAAGATTTTAACTAAAAAGATAGATTAAAAACTAATTCATATAATATGAATAGTTTTGAAGCGTTTTTGGATTTAAGAATAGATTGAAAATTCAATTTATTATATATATAAAGATAGATGAGGGTACGTATTAACCCAATACGGTGAAAATGTAGTTTTTGGAATTATAAATTCTAACTAATATAGAATCTTTGGTAAAGAAAATAGTGATATTACATGGGATTAAAGGATGATTGACCTTTTATAGTTTGCGAAATTAATGACATAATAATTTTGTTTTGTTTCTTTTCATAGTTTAGTTTGCTTAATTTTGAGAAGTCTGTTAATGCAACTTGTAGTCTGGCTACTTGTCCAGCTAGTTGAAGCTGTACTAATCTTCAAAACTTTATAATTGATAGCAAGCTTTCTTGTAGGATCACTATTTTTTCGTGAAGAAGATAGTGATATTTTAATTTTATGGGATTAATGGACAATTGGCCTTTTTATCTTTCCCAAATTAATAGCATAATAATGTCATTATGTTTGTCTATTAATCATAACTTGAATAGCTGTAGTACTAATCCTCAAAGCTTTGTCGATAGCAAGAATTTTAGTCTCAGGGAATATCGTCTTGTAGATGTATTACGTAGCAATTCAGGAAGTTTTTTTTTTTTTTTAATGTAAAACTTTCTATTCGTTCTTTACTCTATTGGATATATTGCAGAGTGTCCTGATGGCACGAAGCATTGTGGGGAGACTTTTCAAGTTCTTCCACTTGGAGAAAGATTTGACAAGCTGCATATGTTTAATTTAGTCATCAAAATAATTAGGAAATTTAATTAATTTTATTATGTGTTAATTAATTAATTAATTATTATTATTGTTTGGATCGTAAAGATAGATACGGGTTAGAGTTTATGTTTTATCATTAGATTGCAAAAAAAAAAAAAAAAATTTAAATTTTTTCTTTTAAAACTCTCTCATTCATACACTAGATAATATTTGCATTCATTTATCTGTCTTTTATTCGATTTGTATTTTAATAGGACTGTCGGCTTCTCTTTCCATATTTCTCTTTAGTTAATTAAACCCTAAAATGGATAAGGTGGAAATTTAACTTCTCAATGAACAAATAAATTATAAATAAATAAACTTATTGCCTATTAAATTTTTTTGAAATTTATAAATTACTCTTCGTAAATCTACTTTTAAATTTTCTATAGTAGCTACGATGGGAAACTTTAATTATAAATGAAGAATATTTTAGATAAAAAAAATAATTTAATTGTGATGAAAAACCATCAAATAAAAACCAAGTTAAAATCAAATATAAAAAATATAAAAACCGAATATCAAGTTTTTTTTTTTTTTTTTAAGAATTAGGTAATTAATTCATTAAAAACAAATGGATGTAATAATACTTTTTACTTTTATTTATTTGGCGACTGGTAGCTCAGATTCGGACTCAACAACGCCAAAAGAAGCCCTGAGCAGCCTTTCAATTTAGGATATGGACACGTCACTTTCTACGGAGTCTGGTCCTGCTTGTCCTTTCCTATAATGGAAGTTAACCTTTTTCACCTAAAGGCTGTTTTGATGCCCCGAGCAACCTTTATACATCCAAGCATTTTACCGTACTTGAGTAAATTATAAATTAGTCCTTTTAGTTTTGAGAAAATAATTAATTAGTCCCATTTATTTTTAAAATTAATTATTTAATCATTTCATCTATTTTATATTATTTTATTTTTTTGTTTTGAAAAAAAGGAAAAAAATTAATATTATGAAAAAATTGATTAGCAAGAAGATTTTTTTAGAATAAAATAACACTAAATTAAGCGTATTATTGAAGTTTAATTTTTTCCTTTTTACATATGTTATAAAATTTGAACTTAAAACTTTTTAACAAAAAAATCTAAATTTTGATTGTGGACATTCTCTCCAGGACATTGAAAGCTAATTTTTTTTTTTTTTTTGTGGTTTGTTTTTTATAATCATCTATCTTTTGGGTAACCTTTTACGCACAATAATTTTATTGAATTTAAATTCTCTTAATTACCTTCAAAAAGGAATATAATTGATCCCTTAGCACAAGTTTTAGTTATAGCTTAGATAAATATAAAATATGCTTCCAAATTCTTTAAGCAATTATATATATGCTTCCAAATTCTGTAAGCAATTATATATATATGTGCAAATTATGAAAAAAAAAAAGAATTATAAGAAATTCTTAGATCTTGATATAGATACCTTATCTTAAACAATAATAAAAATATAAACTTCATTTCTAATGCAAAAATTATTCCTAAAAATGCGAAAACTAGCTTGAAAAACCACTTAGATGAAAACAACAAAATAATAATAAATAAATAAATTACCAAGCACCCTTAAACTACAAAGGACCATTTAGCATAGGATACGTAAGAATAAGCATCAAATAAATTGGATTAAACCCTAAGAAAGTTTCATAATTAGTCTCCATCGTGGGCCATGTTGAAATATTGTTAATGGATAAGATCATTGCTTTAATTTTTGACTTGACAAAGCTCATTGACCTCTTATATATTTATTTATTCATCGGCAAGTCTGTTCTTCGTGGGTTGTGCCGGCCACTTTTTTGTGTCCAGTTATTCCATCATGAACCACCCGTGAAGCAAAGCTAACCTCAGCTCACCGCGTCCACACAAAAAAATAAAAATAAATAATAATAAATAAAAAAAACCGATGAGAATATGCTTCATGAAGTAAGAAATTTATGAGAATTACTTCGAACATGAAGCTGAAGATCTTAGAGACTTAAAAAACATATTTGGTATGATGCAACGTAATGAAAATTATAATGGAATAGTATGGAAGGATTAATTGCATAAAGCAAAGGGTCAGCGGTTCAAATAACTTATTCAATCCATCGTTATATTTCTAATTCAATCAATTTTATCTTTAAATAGATATTAAATATTTAATCTATCATTTTGATAAAATTTTTGAATTAATTATTGAAATTAATCATACAAATTACATATAAAAACTTCCTCGATTAAACTATTAGAATTAATTATATAATTTTCACGTAAAAACTTTTTATTTAACTGGTTAGTAAGGATATTTTAAAAATAAAAATTAATTATAAAAATTACTTAAATCATGATTTAACTCGATAATCTAAACAAAATGATAAATTAAAACTTAACATATATTTAAAAATAAAATTAACTCAGTTAAAGATATAAAGATAAATTTAAAAATTAGTTTATTATATACGAATAAATTAATTAAACTATTAACCTCAAAACAAAACATATGTTAACCAAACACAATTTATATAAATAGGTAAAAACCATATGTGATTCAAAAGCCCAACCATACAAACAAACACTAGTTGGCTTGTGGAAAGTAAACATTTCTCGTATGCTAATATATAAATTTTATGATTTAATATCTGTGATTTTTGTTTAGTGATTTAGTTCATAGATAAATGTGATATCTTTTGAAAAATTTCTTATTCAAAAGACATGACAATCATTATCATTTGTGCTTGCAGTATTCTCTTGCCTTATATATCATAGCATGTGGGCCATTTCGATGGATGGGTGACTATATGTGACATTAGGTTACATCTGGCAGTCGTTCTCAAAATGACGAATTCAATTGTATCTCAGGAACTCAAAAATTTGTGGCTGATAAATTTATTTGATTTAAAAAAGAAACGTAAATTATTTTCTCTTTTCTCATGTTTATGGAAAAGCCATTAGATTTTTTCTAGGTTCAACAATAAAGATATTCTCGAAACAATTCTCATATACTTCGAAACTAATTCTTCATTATACGTGATTAAAAAAAACTTCATAATGTACGATATTGAATGTTTTGAGATTAAATTCTTAAAAATACTAATCATAAAGATCAAATTTTAAACCTTATCTATAAATCAATGTTTATTTATTAACGAAATATCACCTTATGATTAAAATAATTAAATTCTTAAGTTATATAACAGAGAGATAGTCTTTTTTTCGTCACATAATATATAACTAAATAAATGAAAATGATTGGAATTCAAATCTGTTTTCTGAAAGAAGGTTTTGAATATGTAACTGCTAGACCACATCTCTAATTGTATAATTAATTTTCCATTTAATTTCTTCAATTTTCTTTCTTATTCGTGACACGTTT